TACTTTTTCCATCAACTCTGAAAATTCAAGAGGTTTTAGAGTAAAGGTGGTCGGATGTCGAGGAAGAAAGACACAGTTTAGATACGAGGTCTCGAAACTGGATGGATAGGTTGCAGATGTGGCGACGAAGGACAAGGGCTGGAACCGAAGTCACATTTTCCTGCGTAGACAAGAGTCGACTCGACACTTCTTGTCCAATGAATTTTATGCCAATTATACATTGAAAAACTGTATCGAAATTTTATCGAATTCCTGGTTGGAAATTACAGAAAGTAATATTAAAAATGCAGAGAATAAACTTATTAATTCTGTTGGTTCCTCCATTCGGGCAAACTTAACAGATCTGGAATATGATTAGCCAGACATGATAAGTGCTATCACAGGAGAACAATGCATCCCGGCACATATTACACAATTTTTATGAGATTGTGAGGAGGAAGAAGAACATCAAGAAAAACCGCAAGAAATGATTTTTACAGAAACGAAATTGTAAACAACGAATTATATGTTCTCATCGAAAGAATAACATTTCAAACTGCAGCTGTACCACCTTACATAAAATACCTCGTGGAGGCATTAAAATCATATTTCTTGAGTAAGGAGAATCAGATAAGTAAGTTGTACATATGTATGGCAATTTGAATATAAATTATTTACAAATAAATTTTTTCAACATCATTTGTTATTACCACGATACTAGGCAATTCCAAGGATGATACGCAACAAAACAATTTAATGTAATAGTAATAATAATAATAGTAATAATAATGATATGATTTTATGAGCGTTCAAGACAATAATCATAATTTCTATACTAACTAATTTTCGACCTAAGGACGTTAATAATTTTTGTACATAATATACTCTTACGTTTAAAAAACTGCAATGATTTTGCTTTTTTGTTGACTAAAAAAATCTTTTATCAACATTTCGTATTGTAATTTTTTAGAAACTGTGTACTGACTAATTTTTATTCGAAACATTTTTTATTAAGAATTACTAGCGTTTCTGTAGGTTAAGTACACAATGTAGACACGATACATAAAAATCCGTTATGTAATATAAATACATTATATACAAATATGTAATACATATATTGACATAATAAACAGATAACACATATACTAACATGATACTACATACATAACTGACATATATTTGAACATAATACATAAACAAATAACAAATATTCTTCAATGTAACAGGTTAATAAATAATAAAAAAAATGATGTATGAAAATACTTGCAAAAATCATACATCAATAGCATATTGTTCATAAGATATTGTTATTATCCGCACATAGAAGGCTGCAAAACTTTTCTAAACTTTGTAAACTTCTTCTGTGCAATCGTTTAAATGAAATGTGTTGTAAATTAAACAAAACACATCCATCTTTTTGTCATTGGGTGACGAACGAACTAATTCCTCAAGAATGTCCCGATTCATTCTCGGGCGCGCTTCTAAAAACCACGTTTACAATTACAAATGCAGGCCACTGCATAGTTTTTCGTTGGAATCCCAAGACACGTTTTAGCATTTTCGAGAAAAATTAAGTTAAAGATAATCAAACATATATAATAATTCCTCAATGGGTGTGTAACTTCGAGACAATAAAACCGAATCTACGATAAGTAATTAAACTATTTCAAAATCAAAATAACAAATATTTAATACTTTCAATTGAATAATCCATTCATATTCATATTTATTGCTGTGTACTTTGAATAACTCAATGTTAGAAACGCGATATGAGGAAGCAAAAGCAAGTAGATCGTTGTCCATACTAACATGTTTGCTGGGTGTTGAGAGTTACTTTTTTGTTTTCTTTTTTTAAATTGTTTACGTATAAATAAAGACTTTAGATTACAATTATATTATAAATAAATATTGATTTTTTGATTTTATTTCCATTGCTCGCATCACTGTCCGCCGCGCCGGTACTGTGAGGATTACATAATACAGATCAAAATTCTTGTTGGTCAGTATATTCAACCACGTGAGAAAATGAATGCAAATATGAAGGTTGTATGAGAAAAAGTATCAAAGGGAGTACAAATTTCTTTCACTGCACTGCATGTAACTGCGACTTGAAATGTTCTGGTGGCAGTAAAAAAGATTTAAATAAGCATGTAGAGAATAATAAACATAATATTATGAATACCACAGGTCAGTTTCTGAAGAATCTATTCTACCACCTTTCAGTGTAAATATGTACAGAATCCATTATGTTCACTTTTTTCTTTTTTTTCTTCCTTTCTTTACTTTTAGTTATAATATCATTTTGTTAAATAAAGTGAGCACAGTATCATAATGTGTGTAAACATATGTATATGTACTTTTCTTTCTATCACAAATAATTTTGTGATACAAATTATTGTTTTCTAATTATAATATATTATTTTTTATTTCTTGCATATCAGTCATTACGAAGAGAAAGGAAAAGTCAGTCAAAGAGAAAGGAAAAGATTTGAAAAAGAATGCAATATCTCTCTGCAGAACTAAAAATGTCCAGTTTCATTATGAAACGTGATCTTCCTAGTTGCATAGCACGCCTGTTGTATTGAATACAAGATTGTTAAAATTCGGAAATTACAAATGCGTTAAAATTAACTAATAACTAATGTTATAGGACGTGCACAAGAAAACGGGTTAATTAACTTATTACAAAACGATACATTTTCATTGATAATAAATGAAAGTACGGATAAATTAAAAACAAAATATGTAGCTTGCATTGTCAGAACATCCGTTGATTTCTACGTGAAGGACAATTTTCTATGTCTGTTTCCAATCATTGATGGATGTGCAACATTTTTATATAAGGCAATAATAGAATATTTTAAACTAAAAAATATTGCTTGTACAGAGAATATCATAACTTTTGCTTCGGATGGAACAAATGTAATGTTTGGAGAAAAATACTTATTGTGCTCACTAGTTTCTCAAGATATTCCTTATTTGTTTAAATTAAAATGCATCTATCATTCTTTTAACTTGCGTGCATCATATGCATGCAGAAAGTTGCGTAGAGATGTTGAGGATTTTGCTCGTGATATTTATAACTACATATATTCAAAATAGTCTGAAAAGAATTGGAGACTATAAAATGTTCCAGAGTTTTACAAATGTAGATCCACATAATTTGTTGTATCCTGCACAAACAAAGACTTTCAGAACAATTACCTGCACTAAAACTTTATTTTCAAAGTTTTTAATTTTGTATTACATTATTTCACTAACTTAAATAAGGAAATACAATCAGAGTGTTTCGAATTAATTTCAGAAGAAATTAACCGAATAAACAAAATAGCCGATCAGGATTCTATATTAGAAATTAAAATGATTAATACTGATGTTGAAAACGAATCATTTCATTTACCGTTAGAGGAGACATATCTGAGAGGCAATATTACAAGAGAGAATTATATATATAAAATCCAAAAATAATATCTTATTCCAGAATTGTCTGCAGCAATTTTATCAGAAATGTTTTAACTTTCACTTAGAAAGAGCAAAACAAATAAAGAAAAGGTTTTCTTGTAAAGGAAAGGGGCAACTTAAAGCTCTAACTTTAAAAGGG